CACGCACATTCAGCCTGTCCATAGGAAAGCATTCACAATGCTTTCCCATGGACGCTGGCGTCTTCTCGCGCTGGCGTCTTCTCACTGTGAAAATCACAGTGAGAAGCGCAGAAGCCCTCTAGCGGCTGTCAATGAGACAGCCACTAGAGGCTGGATTAACCCATTTCTCTGAAACTGCTATGTGTATAGAAAAAAAGGGTTAAACCTAGCTGGACCAGGCATCCAGACCACCTCATTAAGCTTAAGTGGTCTTGGTGTCTATAGTGGTCCTTTAATATATTTTAGTGAAATTCAATTACCAGGCAAATATACCAGTTGTTGTGCAGAAGACATGTACATTTGTATTCGTAAGAATAACACAATGAATGAAAATCCCAAATTTTAGATCATTTAGTCATAAAAAGAATACAAAGTCATCAATGACAGAATGATTAAATGGCTCATAGCAGACATGCCCCACTCGTATCATGTTAAGCATGGGCATGGAGAGGTATAAAACAGTTTATACCTCCCCCATGTCCACACTCGCAATACTATAAGTGAAGGCATCTCTGCTAAACTGCGAGCAAGAAATAGCTGCTCACTGTATCAACAAACTAGCGATTGCTGCCCAGTCATTAGTAACTTGTTAATAACAACCACCCAGTCCACCCACCATGGGCATTAGGTAGGGTTTTCAATTTAAATAACAGGAGGTGAATATTCCAGTTTAAAAAAATAGAGGGTTTTCCTGCCCATGCTCCCACCCATGGATGACAAGTGGGGGCTTTAATATTTATAGAGGGTTCTATTGTCACATCCAGCCCCCATCAATGGGTGGAGTGTGGAAGAGCTAATTAAAAATACTAGAGGGGGACAAGTAATTGTCTATACCACAAGTTTTTTCCTAGTTCCCAGTGGGGGGTTAGGGGTCCTCAAGCACTTAGACACCTACATTACAATAAAACTAACCTACTTACCATCTGTCATCTTAATACTAGTGACCTAGAAAATAAAAAAAATAAGTAAATTGGTCAGTCCTTTTTATTTTTAATACTTGTACTGCATTATCATGGATTTTATTTTGGAGTTTTTTGGGGCTCAAGAAAAGAACATTTAGAAGAAAGAAGACTTTTTCCAAGATTTGCTTTACTGGCACTATATTTGTATAATAATTAAAGCCCCCAGCTGTTGCTCATGGGTTGAGCATAAGGTCCCTCTTTAATAATAAGACTAAGTAGGCAGTGGGCAGTAGGTGGGGGCTCAAATTAATACAACAGGGGGAATCTAATGTCTCCCAAGTCCCAGCCAATGGTGGCACTTGGGGCTCTAATAGTTATTAGAGGAGTACCTGATGATTTTCCTGGTAAGCTCAACAGGAGGGTGCTATAACATTGAAAAGGGGGCCCTAGTTTATCCCCCAGCCTCCATGCATGGGTGGCTGGTGGGGGCTTTAATAAAATATACTGGGGGGGGGATGGATACATTGTGAAAACATAAAAATTGTGATGCATAAAAAGATAAGTCTCCTTCACCAATGAAGGTCTCCACCCAGCTTGAGCTTGCCTAGTGTGGAAGTTCTTATGAAGACTTTTCCACACTGCAAATGACAAATCAGATTGATGACTGAAAAAACATACAAATGTACAGATATATGTACACATGCAAATTCCCTAGGTTAACCATTCTCAGAATTATGCAAATAGAGAAATTATTTAGTCATGGTGGCGCTGTCAAGGAAAGCTCCTATTAAATATAAGTATGCTGAAATGACACATAAAAAAACATACTGCAATGCTAATATGTATAAGCAATTATACTAAATGCATCTATACATATTGATTTGTGGTGAAATTAATTATCAAGTGCCTGTAGCGGGGAAAAAAAGCATGGAAATAAGCATGGAAATACATAAATATAATTCCAGTTTGCAATGACTTGGCATGGCAACAAGTAAAGTCATGTGAAACTTAATTAATAACCTTAAGGCAATGCAAATTGTACTTCACAATGAAAGTAGAGTTGAGTGAACCCGGATTGTAAAGTTCAGGTTCGTACCGAACATTAGGTTTTCTGGACCCCGGACCCGAACATGGACATATCACTGTATGTTCGGGTTGGAATTCGGTGTTCAGCGATTTAATGGCGCGTTTTCAAAGGCTGCAGGGCAGCCAATCAACAAGCGTTTGACTCGTGTGCCCTTAGAAGCCATCACATCCATGCCTACTAATAGCATGGCTGTGATTGGCCAGTGCAGCATGTGACCCAGCCTCTATGTATAAGATGGAGTCACGTAGCGCCGCACGCACATGCGATCTTATTAGTGTAGGGAGAGGATACTGCCGCTGATAGGGACAGCTTAGGAAAGAATTCTGCAAACTAGTACTTTAGTGGGGTGGGGTGCACTTCATATCTGAGAGTCAAATAGAAGCTTCAAATACCGCGGTTACATCGGAGTTTTAAAAAGTCTATTTTTTTGGTGCTACATAGTACATTAGTGGGATAGAACATTAGTGTGGTGCACTTCATATCTGAGAGTCAAATAGAATCGTCAAATACTGCTGTCACATTGCAGTTTTAAAACGTAAAAATTTTTGGGTGCTAAAAAGTACATTAGTGGGGTGCACTTCATATCTGAGAGTCAAATAGAAGCGTCAAATACTGGTGTCACATTGCAGTTTTAAAACTTAAAATTATTTTGGTGCTAAACTGCTAAATAGTAAATTTTGGGGCATGCACTTCATATCTGAGAGTCAAGTAGAAGCATCTAATAGTGTGCTTACAGCGCAGTGGTAAACATTCTTATTTTCTGGGTGCTAAACTGCTAAATAGTAAATTTTGGGGCGTGCAATTAATATCTGAGAGTCAAATAGAAGCGTCTAATACGGCGGTTACAGCGCAATTGTAAACATTCTAATTGTTTTGGTGCTAAACTGCTAAATAGCACATTTTGGGGACTGGACTTAATGTCTGAGAGTCAAATCGAAGCGTCTAATACTGCGGTTACAACGCAATTGTAAACATTCTAATTATTTTGGTGCTAAACTGCTAAATAGTACATTTTGGGGCATGCACTTCATATCTGAGAGTCAAGTAGAAGCGTCTAATAGTGTGCTTACAGTGCAGTGGTAAACATTCTTATTTTCTGCGTGCTAAACTGCTAAATAGTACATTTTGGGGCGTGCACTTCATATCTGAGAGTCAAATAGAAGCGTCTAATGGTGTGCTTACAGCGCAGTGGTAAACATTCTTATTTTCTGGGTGCTAATCTGCTAAATAGTACATTTGCGGACTGCACTTCATATCTGAGAGTCAAATAGAAGCGTCTAATAGTGTGCTTACAGCGCAGTGGTAAACATTCTTATTTTCTGGGTGCTAATCTGCTAAATAGTACATTTGCGGCCTGCGGTGCACTTCATATGTGAGAGTCAAATAGAAGCATCAAATACTGCTGTCACATAGCAGTTTTAAAAAATCTTTTGGGTGCTAAACTGCTAACTAGTATTTTAGTGGGGTGCACTTCATATCTGAGAGTCAAATAGAAGTGTCTAATAGTGTGCTTACAGCGCACTTGTAAAAATTCTAATTTTCTGGGTGTTAATCTGCTAAATAGTAAATTTTGGGGCCTGCACTTCATATCTACAAGTCATGCTACAACAAAATTTTCAAGTTTTAAAATATGTATGGGCCAACCAGTGGCTGTAAACAACAAAGTTTTACTGGTTACATTCATGACTACACATTCTAGTGAACAGGACCTTCATGTAGTGTGTTCTTTTTTTAAAATCATACAGCTTTCATGTGCTTTTCAGATGTCATATTGTGAATTACCAATTTTTGTGTAGCCTGAAAAATAAGTGTTAATGTGATCGCTTCATATACAGAAGCATTAAAACGTGCATGACAATCTACCTGTGCATGGCTAGTGTTATACAATAATTATTATTATACAATAATAATATCTACATCTTAAAAATGCAATAACCCACAGAAGATGGGCGAGAATTTATTTGCAAATTGAACTTTGATTAAAATTTACTACATCAGTCACTTGTAATATTGTTTCACACCTACAACACTTGTTACACAGATCTAGGTGATAGAAAACAAATTAATATTTTCTACACTACCAGATAACAAGCTGCTATATTTAAACCAGTGATCAATAGCTAAGAGGTCCTTCAACAATATTGTAATTCTGCGGCAATACCCTCACAAATCAAACTTAGAGGTCAGTTTATAGGGAAAACTGTTGCCTGGATGCAATTCTAAAACAATTTTCATATGTCCTTTACAGACTTTACATGCTGGAAAAACACAGGTGCCAACTGCTGTGGCTTTCTGCAGTGTGCATACCGGCAAGGAGGGCAGGGTTGAGGAGTGGGTGGAAGATGATGTGGAGGATGATGAGGACCTAGACCCCACATGGAATTAAGGTCATGTGAGTGATGTGTGCAGTTTGGAGGAAGAGGCGCTGGCTGCACAGAGGCACCAGCACAGCATAAGAGGGAGCAGGGTGCAAAAGTGGAGCGGCCGCCCCCTAGCGCTCATCGGCATGCATTAGCTCGAGAATTACCAGTTATCCAAGTAATACATGTAGCGATCAAAGGATCCATAATAGAGTTGAGCGAACCTAAACGGCAGATTTAACGATCCATTCGTAGTTTCACAGTGGTTGGACGACCGGGACCCAGTATGCCTGATGTTGAAGTTAGGACTCACAGTGTGGAATGGATTAGCAGGGTCTGGTGCAGGGTAACCACACATCCCCTGGTTTTGAGCACCAGCGTTTGTGCGGCCACATACCAGAACCCTGATGCAGCTTCAGTAAAAAGAGTACTGGATACCAGAAGCCATCACCAGACTGATCCGCAACTTGGAACAGGATGTGACATTCACTGTAGCGGCTGTGCATGCTTTTGGCATTGTCACCCTGCTGCTGCTCGCCTGTCTGTGCTGCAGCGTAACTTCAGCCTTCCCGCTCACCGCCTCATGAGACTGTGCGAGCAGCAGCAGGCGATAGTGGAGTTTCAGCTGCAGCACGCATGGGTCAGTGGCTCTGCACCAGACTTCTCTCCAATTGTTTAGAGTTAAAGGATTTCAAGTGGACTCATTACAATTACAGAGCCTCTAAAGAGTCCTGTTTTATTATTTGTCATCACTACCTTCCCGCGTCAGGAGTGAGTTATTTGAGCGCCTGCTGCCGTTTCTCAGGATCCCTGTATGGAATGAAACCCTGATTCCCCATTACCCATGGTCACCATGGTAGGTGCAGAAACTGGCATTGAAAATTGATATGGATGACATCCGCATGCAAAGTCGCCACCACGGTGATGTGCGATTTGCCCGAGGTTCTCTAGAGTCAACAAAGTGCCTGTGCAACAATAATGTCAACAGCTACTCTGCGAAACAGAGTTGTCTTTTTTTATATGTCCCAATATTTTGGGGGCTACCTAAATTAAAAAAAAAAAAAAAATATATATATATATATATATATATATTGTGATAAAGTGAAGGCAGATAGGCCTATAACATTTAACCCCAGGGGGAGTATGTGTTGTAGGTAACACAAACCACCGTTTAGTTATGGGCCCCTGGGGTGGAGCATTTGGAGAGCAGGGTGGGCCAATGCTCCACTCCTCAGTTTATATACAACTGGGAGAAATCAGGTCCAGGCAAGAGTTTTTTGGAACTGTCTCCAACCCACTGCTCAGCTGCAGATAATCAGCTGTAGCAGTGGGAATAAACCCCTCCCTGCTATGCAGGTAAAGGGGGGGATTGCTGGCTTCCTCCCTGGAAGCAGGTTGGAGAGAGGCTGTTCTCTCCAGTGAGAGAGTCAAGGAGACTGAGCACTGGGAGTGCAAAAGGAAAGCAGTCAAGGCTGGCTTGGAGCACTGGGAGTGCGGAAAAGAGAGAGAAATGTGTTTATTTCTAGAAGGAATGGAAGCCACATGCTAACCGAGTGTGGAGTGCAGAGATTTGACAAAGGCACTAGGTTGGTGAACCCAAATATTATTTTGTTCTAGTTTAAACCCTGAGAGAGGGTATGATGTTAGTTAGTGCTCAGATGAGCTAGGCTTTTGTTTATAGGGATTTGTGTTGTTATTGCTTGTTTCATTTACTACTGTCTCCTGTGTGAGTTTAACAATAAAACTGCCTGGATAATATGCAAACCAAAGGACTGTGCCTGTTGTTTACCCTAGAGGACCGTGCTACCTGCAGACAAGGATCACTATATATATATATATATATATATATATATATAAACAGTGTTGGCTACCTCATCCTCCTCCTCCACCGCCACGGTCACCAGCTCCTCAACCTATGACTCACTTAGTATAAACTAGGTACACATTAGCAGAGGCTTGTAAAGGCCTTTTCTCCATGCATCAGGAGTTGAGCATTTCTACATGCATCAGGACTGCAAGAAATGCACCGCAGGCCGCAAATGTTTTTTTTTTTTGTATGTCCCAATATTTTGTGGGCTACCACAATTAAAAAAATAAATAAATAAAAAAATGTTGGCTACTTCATCCTCCTCCACCGCTGCTTCCACCTACACCGCCACGGTCACCGCCTCCTCAACCTATGGGTCACTTTGTATAAACTATGTACACATTAGCAGAGGCTTGTAAAGGCCTTTTCTCCTTGCATCAGGAGTTGAGCATTTCGCCATGCATCAGGACTGCAAGAAATGCACCGCAGACTGCAAATGTTTCTTTTTTTTATATGTCCCAATATTTTGGGGGCTACCCCAATTAAAAAAAAAAAAAAAACAGTGTTGGCTACCTCCTCCTCTTCCACTGCCGTTTCCCCCTAAACCCCCATGGTCACCGCCTCCTCAACCTATGGGTCACTTAGTATAAACTATGTACACAATAGCAGAGGCTTGTGAAGGCCTTTTCTCCATACATCAGAAGTTGAGCTCAGTTTAAACAATGAAAGAGAATACCCTGCACTCCAACCCTCTCTCAAATGGATAATTCTGTTGATCCTCCTGACAGCCATGCTTTAGATTTTGATTTATGTTCTTCCAAAGCTAAAATCAAAGATTCCATCTAGTGCTATTTTATGGCTCAGCTGAAATTTTTAGGTATTATTATGTTATTTTAAGTGATTTCCCTATCCACATTTGTTTGCACGGCACTTGTCCTACTCTTACCCCCATTTTATTTGCTTTTGCAGCTCTATTGCTCTTTCCAGGAGTTTTTTAGAGGCATTTTTGTTTCCAAAAGTTCGGGTGCCCCTTGACTTCAATTGGGTTCGGGTTCGGGGTCAAGTTCGAGCCTGAACCCGGACTTTTTTTCAAAGTTCGACTGGACCCGAACATCCAGGTGTCCGCTCAACTCTATTTGCAAGAGATAAATGCATAGTATTATAAATGCCTATGTTAAAATAAACACAAATAACACACAAAACAAGACTTACACAGCTCTTGCCAAATATAGAACATAATTATGATAAATCCCAATTGACTGTGTAACTCCCTCTTATTTCACAAGCCCCCATTCCACTTTTCTAATGATTAGGCAGCAATGGCTTCACAGTCGCAAATATTAAACATTAAGCAGACAGGCACTGGGGCTGGGAGGTACAATACCTTCATTATAGTAATATGGGGGTCTTATTGACCCCAATAGGAATTTTAATATTTTTTTTAACTTGTTTAATGTGATGGCTTTCTAGCAAGTCCTAGCCAGCTGCTACATCAACCCTTGTGTAGCTGAGGGTTATTTAAGCTATTTACCTGCTGTCTGCTAGCACTGCTAGAGGGCAAATAGTTTGGATTTGTTTTAAAGGGACAGTGATAACTCCATTCCTACAGAAATGATTCTTCACCTGGTTCATTTTTTTGCTAGCTTCTACTAAGTGCTGGTGACATATTGAACAACAATGGTAAAGATGCCTTTCACTGTGTGTTGTACAGCCATATGGTCATCTTTATCACATTTGTAAACTATCACTGGCTAGAAGCTGCTGTGCAGTAGGTTTAATATTACAGCAAACGTGTTCTATCTACAATTTCCCAAACATAATACATTGATTTTGCAGTCATTATGATAGTTTGGTTTTCTTTCTTGTCTGGTTCAGCTTGGATAAAAATCACAAGTGATATTATCATAAGTTGTTTATAAATATTATTCACATTAGCATTATTATTTTCTCTAAGCTAATTTCCTTAGCGGCATTATTCAGTTGCCATCCAGTTCTCCCTCAAAGTCCTCAGATTTCCTCCAAAGGTAACGTCAACGCTATCCTACAAGACTTGGATTCCTTGGTTTATGAAGAGGCCTGTAGAAGTCTGTAAGTCAGTTGGGCATGTGATTGTTCATTATTTATTAATAGCAAAAATATGTGGTATTTTAGGAAGGTTCACATTTTGCTTGAATTATATAATACATTTTTTGCACTAATATGTTATTATATTTTTGTATTAGATATGTGTTGGGTTTTTGGCAAAAATAAACATTTTTTTTACATTTATGGTCTACAGTGCTAATGTTGTAATGAAGACAATGCTTTCTATTTATATTATTTTGCTACCTTTTTATTGTATAAATATAATAAAATATTAGATGTCCATCTGGTTTTAATTTAAGGGAATTCACAAATTAATTTCTGGTCTTAAAGGAGGATTAATACAGAATTAGAAAAACATTATGCTGATATATATCTAATGAAACAACTAAAAACTATAAGAAAACTTTCTTGTAGCAGAATCTCTTTGAATATATCCAGTACAGTACATTTTGTAAAGATTTACAAAAAGCAACGATCACTGTCTGAAAATAAAAAAAGACATGTAAAATTAGTTACCATAACAACCCATGTGGCTGTTACACAGAAACCTTTCACGTGGATTATTTTATTTAATATGTTGCTATGGTGAAAACATCAGCATATGGTTTGAGTAATGTTTTTAGCGGCAATTGAATATTTCTCTTTTATTGTACTTTTTCAATACCTTCCATTATCATTATAGTCAAGTTGAAATAAGCAAAGTGACAAAAACCTTTATGAAAATGTAAGGATTTGAACAAAATTCATTTAGTAAAACAAAATGTTAAAAACACTAAATAATCTGTTATTTTATCCTGGATATGGTTACTTACATACATTGTCGTATGACTTTTGTTTCAGTGAATTAATTGCTAATTTTGTAAACATGGGAAATTACATATATTTTTAGATTTTACACGTGAATTATTATATTGAAGATTGGTTTATAAAAGTAGGTTAAATTGCTACTTTTTTAAACCATAGTGCATTGCTATCGTTACTGTAGCTGATGCTAGTGCTGGCTAGAGAGTATAGGAGCAGAGTGACTGACGTCACTCAGGTGAGAGCCAGCATGATGCCAATGCACAGTGAAGCCAGCATGTTGGGGTCAGAGAAGAGGTTTGCCCTGCATGGGGAACGTCCCCAAGCAGGGCAAATGAAAGAGGAGACCAGGCAGAGCATGGGAGAATTGAAGAGCATTCTCAAAGTGTTTTAAAAAAGGACATCGGGCGTAGTATGCCATCCTTAAAGGGGTGGACCTAAATGCAGGAGGATGACATAGTACGCCCAGTCGTCCTACGCAGCCCCACGGCCCTGTACTTACCTGGACCGGTAATCCGCGGAAATTCCGTTTGGGGGAGGACTGCCTGAGAGCACAGCAGCCCAGCAACTGCAACCCTCCAGGGCCATGTGATCACGATGATCACATGGCCGCAATAGGAGTCTGTGGAGTTACCTGCAGGGGGACTCCCTGAGCTGTCAGGCAGTATCCCAGTCTGCTAAAAAATAAAAAAAAATAAAAAGTTCAACATATTAAATAAATATATTATACATATATTTAAATAATATATTATAAATATATAATGAAACCATTTTATATGATATATTTGTTATATATATATATATATATATATATATATATATATATACATATATAACAGAAAATGTATTCATACTTTTAAAAAAAATGTATACCCATTCCTACCCCTCCCATCCTCAGTCTTGTTTCCAGCAATATCCCAGGGTGGGATCTTTGAGCTGCCATGGCCTATGACCAGGAAATGAAAATTATGGTAAGTATAAATTTAATAAATAATACATTTTCTGTTTTCCTAGTCATATCCATGGCAGTACAACAATGAGTAATACCTAAGCAATAACCAAGGGTGGGAGAAGAAACATACAGACTCCAAATAATTATACAAGAATTTACACTTCCAATAAATAAATTATACTTGCGAGATGCTATAGCCTCTATTTGGGACATGCCTCCTTTTCCATTATCATCTGGAAGACTTTGTCTGATAGGCACACTTCTCCTTTATCCTTTTCCGATTGGCTGAGAAAGACTGCCAATGAATTCTGAATCCCATGATTACTGTCTCCAGACCATGTCTGCACTCAGGACGTAAGGTACTTAATATGTGACACTAAGATCCCTCGAACCTTGCCTTGTATTTGCAACTAATCTTTATTCGTATGTATACCAGATAATGCTAAAAATTGCTTGAGTGCCATAACACAGCAGATGGAGG